CTCGCTTTTTCTCTCAAGAAATTTCTCTCAAAAATGGCAAAGTGAGAAATGAAAGGAAAGAGATTCCTATTTATATGAGATCTCAGAAGGTGAACCGTCACCTCCTCTTCCCCCCTTAGTTTAAAATTAGACAAAAAGGAAAGGAGGCGAACCGTCGCCCTCCTACCCAGTTGGCACGTGTCACAGGTGCCACGTGGCATAGCCACGTCATCACCCGTGAGGGGCAAATGTTTAGGGTAAAAATTACCTTAGACACATGGCCCAATAAGGGCCTGACACGTGTCCCTATAGCACCATGGGCATCCAACCAATGGATGCCACGTGGCATTGTACCCCCAATGGGGGAGCAGATCCTCATCTGCTATAAATAGAGGAATCTACCTCATTTATTGGCATTCATAAATACACACACAAAAACCAAGCACTATTAATTGCGGAATCTCCCGGAATCTGAGAGAACCAGTTTACTTTCCGCACATATTCACATCCGGAATCATACTAACTTAACCTTCGGAGGCGGAACTCCACCCAACCGGAGTTTCGTGGTTTTGCAGGTACAGACGTCAGGCGTACATTCCCGGTGCTGTAATTCTCCCATAGGACATCTCAAAAAACCCCGAAACAAATACCAAGTCTTGGGTATTTGGGAAAGAACACACTTGAGTGGAATAGTAAGGGAAATTCCATTGTTGAGCATACCCTGAAATTCGTAAAATTCCAAGTTTATTTTTTGTCCGAGCCTCGACTAACCTTCGAGGCTTAGGACGATCGGGTCGGGTTCGAGGGTACGATCCCGTTGGAGGCCTCACATTATCGAGGTTGAAGTAAGAGCTCGTTGTAAGAGCGAAGCACGCGTCGAGGGTATATTTCTTATCTTTACTCTTAATTGTGTTTTAATTATGTTTTGCTTGTATTAGTTGCTGTAATTATTGGAGCGGGTCTTGGGGGTTTCATTCCGCGTAGTGAGGGTCACTACGAAACCCTACAGGTTTCTCCTTGGCCTTGAGGCCACATGTTTCCTGGCTCTCCCAGGGGTTGTTATGTCACTAGTCGTGTGTTTCCTAACTTTAGGATCCGGCCGGGAGGAGGAGGAAGGCATTGCTAAGTTGCCCCACAAAATAACCACGATAAGTAAGAAGCAAGAGGCAGAAAAGCTAAATGAGATTTGTTCAGTTAAAAGTTCACCTTGGACGCTTGCACAACAGGCGACTCTTCATTTGACCGCTTGCCCAAGATGGCCAAGTGGTACTAAGCAGAAGCTTTGTTTGAGGCCGAGAGATTTTTCATGGCTTTGTCTGCAAAAGATGAATCAAGGAATTACTTTGACACAAAATAAATCAAGTTTCACAAGACACTTGAACAGGCGGTCGGCTACCTCTCGGCATCTCTTCACTAAGGCCATAGGCGGCCAGATATGTCCCATCGTATAACTAGTTATACTTGGGAATATAGTTTTGAGGAATGAACTCCCTCGCCCCAGTCTCGGGGTTCCCCTGAATGTCTACTTTGAAGAGCCCTCTGTTAAGGATCTCCTCTTTTGCTTTACGGAGAACAGGTGGCAGCTTAGAACCGCCTGTGAGGAAAGGTAAGTTCTTGTTCCACTTGTTAAATTTTTTGTTCCTGACTGTGTCAAGGCTAGAGACGATGTAGAAAGTGTTTCTCCAATCTTTCCACTTGTTCTCCTTCCCCACAGTCATCATATAGCCCTTGTGGCTAGACAGTTGATACCAGCCGGTCCCGCTTGTCTTCGGGGTCCGGCTGAGGTAGTGCATATGAGCGAATGCCTCAAAGTTTGGCTCTACCTCATGCATTTCACAGCCGGCAACATAGCCCAAGATGTTGGACCAAAAGTTTGGGCCTATTTTCCAGACACCTAGCTAGTATCCATCCAAAATTTCTCTACAGCCGGATGTAGAGGAAATCTCAGACCAACCTTAATTGTCGCCTCATAGCAGCCAAAACAGGCGTCCCCGTAGCTGGATTTCTCGGGCCAGACTACAGTGTCCTCGGCATCCGGCATGAAAAGGACATACCCATGCCTCATGACATGGTCAGTTCTGAAGTTCCCAATTTTTTCCGCCATCATTTTCCGCCTGCCAGCTGGAACATGATGATAGTAGGCGGCATATTGCTCTCGGTTGGTGGCAGACGGCTCCGCCCAGTTTGCCCTTAAATCTAATGAGGGGGAATCTCGCGCAGTCTCTAGCAGAGAGTGCCTCTCTTCATACTCATCCGAGAACTTGCTTGAAGTGCTTGGCTCAGAGTCGCTATCTAAGCTCTCAGATGAGGAGTCCGCCCGGTGAACCACATCAACAAAGGCCGGCATATCATTATGAACATCCTCCCCTGATTTGTCTAAAATGGAATCACTAGGAGTGCTTGGGGCACCAGGTGGTACATCAAACAATTCGCTGATAGGCGCGTAAAAGGAAGAGTCGTCTGAATTTGTCACCCTTTCCGTTCTATTAGTTCTGGCCATGGTGTCCTGCACAGACACATAGACAGTCGGACTTGGGATAGTTCACAAAGGGTGATCCAGTAAGGGGCAGTCGACACTCCTAGTTCTAGATTCAGCCGTCCCTGGTGACCGGCTGATCACTAACCTAGGTCGTGCCGTGTGCTTTTGGGAAACCATTTATAAAAGAAAAACAAAGAGAAAGTATGAAAAAAGAAAAAGAAACAGGCGGTTACCTTTAGTCGGTGAAGATGAAGGCGCTTGAAAATCTACAGCGGCTGTAAAAACAGGTGGTCTATAAAGGCAGGCGGTGTGGTGCAGTCGGTAGTCATTTTCTCTCAGAAAAAGACAAGTTCTCTCTGGAATTTCTGGAAATGTCCAAACAAATGATTTGGACATCCTCTATTTATAGGGGGGTGAATTCCAAGAGACTGTATAAAAAATAAAAAATAAAAAAAAAATAAAAAAATGGTAAAAATCGTTAGCCAATCAGAGCGTGACACCTGTAACAGGCGCCATGTGGCAAGCCACGTCACCCCTATGAGGGGCAAATGATTAGGGGATTTCTCCCGTCACGTGGACCAATGAAACCCTGCCACGTGTCCTCCACATGGACCAACCACATCCTGCCACGTGTCACTTTGTGAGAGGTCCAAGGTGGACCAATTAGGCCACGACACGTGGCAGGAAGATTGCCAACAGGGAAAATGGCTTTTAAGGGCCCAAATACCTAGGTAAGCCCAGTTAGTCCTAGGTTTTTGAAAACCTAGTATTGGGCACATATATCGAGACCCTATAAAAGGGAGATGTTGCCTCTAAGGAACATGATTCAGATATCATTAAACACACGCGTACATTACTTGTTGAGCATTAATTCCAGCTTTAATTGCGCTACTTGAGAGCTAAGGCTCAAATTCCGAGACTGTCTCAGATAGTTGGATGATCACTCCCCTTCCGAGAGGAGCCTGGTCCCCTTTACTTTCCGCATCTTTACTTCCGAACACGTTCTAACTTGATCGTCGGAGGCCGAACTCCCACCCACATGAGTGTTCGTTGTTTTGCAGGTACAGGCGTCCAGAGGTCAGTCTTGGTGTTGTAACTCTCCCGCAGGACATCCAAAAAATCCCGAAACAAGTTCCATTATGGAACTCTTCTTCTAGTTTCTTCAACTTCCCTTAGGATCTCCTTAATTCTTCATAGTCAGGTTACTCTTCTACTTTCCAAGTCAACTTCACCTGTTCTAGTTAAACACTTAGAGAAATCGCATTAGTTGAAGTTTGCTTTTATTCATCATCATCAAAACTCTAATGCTTCAACATTACCTTTTTCGTAAAATTTAATAATATTTCGTTTAAAAGATAATTAAAAAGGAGTTGGAATAATATTTTAGGTACGGTAAACGTGTATAAAAGACTTATAAACACCAAATAAAAAGGAATATATTTGTCAAAATAATAATATATTTTGAATTATATTATTATAGATTTAGAGTTGTATAAAATATTCACAAATAAAAATAAAAATAAATAAATAAATTAGTTCAGAAGGAAGGGGAGTTTTAAAGGGAAAAACAGCACCAGGATGTGACACGTGTCATTCATAGTGTCTGTTTTTTAATTAAGTTATGTATTATTGATTGGAATTAGATATAAAAATAATTTACAGATAAGGATAAATATGAACCACATTATTTACAATTAATAATTGAAATAGTCGAAGAAAATGATTTAAGGATGCATATTAATGAAATCCAAAGAAAAAAATATACAATATACAATTAGCACCAAAGTTATCAAAATTATTATTTTAGCTTCCAACAATTAACTCGTTGTATAGTAGTTTGTAGAAGCATCTATTTGATTTTGTACTCTAAATTTATGAAACTATTTTCAATGCAATTCAAATAGAGTAGCTTAGTTAAAAAAAATAATTAAATAAAATTAAGATGATGTCATTAATGTATTTTGACAAGAAAATTCTTTATGAGAAAGTGTCATGTGTATAGATTTGGAAATAGATGATATTAACATGTTTTGTTTTAGTATAAATTTATGATTAAGGAGTGTTGTAATTTGGGATTTGAGGTTATATTTTTGACACCACGCGATACTAGCTATTGCTATTTGTGTTTGGGGGTTTGTGAATAGCTTGTGTAGTGTTAAAAATTATCCGTGAAATACAATAACTAAATTACCAGATTGACGAGCTCAATTCTTCTTGCAACATCATTGCTTTGTGTAATTGGAATTCATAGAAGTCTAAAAAGTGGTTTGATATCTTTTAAAATATTTAGTCAGCAAGACTAGGTTATTTTAAAGTGTGTATAAACTACAAGCAATAAGTTTGACTTACAATGAATTTCAATAAAAGCACGCTTGACTCTTACATCTACTATTATTTTCCCTACCTTTCTGGACTATAAGAAATTTGTCATGCCGTTCCAAGCAACACTGCACACCAAACTAGAATACGTCGCTTTATTCTTCAGTTCTTCACTTGAAGTTAATTAGTAAAGTCTTTTGTAGACTAATAACTTGTAATTTTTTAATTTATTATATAAACATGTAATATAAAATTGTTTGTCATCAAATCATTATAGCATTGTAACATAGTAAGAGTATTCATAATGGAAAATTTAAATTTGTTCACTTGGTCACTCTCACTATTGATTGTCTTCATAGTTTACAAATTTTTATTAACTTGCAACAAAAACAAGAAAAAACTGCCCCCATGTCCTCCATCTCTTCCGATCATCGGCCACCTTCACATGCTAAAACGACCATTACCCCTTCACCAAACACTCCATGAAATCTCCACAACCTATGGTGAAATCCTATTCCTAAAGCTCGGAGTTCGTAAAGTCCTCCTCATCTCTTCCCCCTCCGCGGTGGAGGAATGTCTAGTAAAAAACGACACGATTTTTGCTGACCGCCCAGACACTCTTGTTGGGAGGCTCCTACACTACAATAGCACATCTATTGCCTTTTCACCTTATAATGATCACTTCCGGACTCTAAAGCGGCTCATGACCCAGGAGGTGTTTTCGTCTACTAAGATTCCCCTCTTTTCTGGGATTCGACAAGATGAGTGCAATCTCCTAATCCGCGACCTTTACCATGAAGCTGCCACTGAGGATTTGGCGAAGGTCAATTTGAATCAAGGGTTTAATGACTTGGCTCTCAACATAATGACCAAGATGACAGCCGGGAAGAGGTAACTATTTTGCAACCTTTGTAATTATTACTGTAAACTATGCTCATAATCATATCTGGTTTGCTTCGTCTTGTTGTTAATCCAGTAAATTTTACCACCAAAATAAGTTCACGTTATAAAAGTTAAATTTTGTGATACAAAAATTGTGAAAGCATACTTACGTAAACTCTATTCGGATATAGGTAGACTCTTAAGCTTGTTCATTCAATTGTGCAAGAGTTCATTCAATTCAGGCCTCTGCACAATTAGTGTAAACTAAGCTTTATGAGTATCCATTATATACTTCGTAACAAAGAATATGCAACCTTTGTAATTAGCGTAAACTATGCTCATAATTAGATTTGTTTCGATAAGTTAATCAAGTAAATTTTACCACCAAAATAAGTTCAAATAAGATTAATGATTAAAGTTTATGGAGTATAAGTTAGATTTGTGAGACAATAATTGTAAAATCATACTTCCGTAATTCTGTTTTGATATAACCATACTACAAGTTCATTCATTTCTGCTTGTCAATTCTTCTTTATTGGAAAAAACAAAATCCACAAAAACAGAAATGTCACCTAATTATTTTATATGAAATTTTAGTCTTTCATGGCCTATAAACTTATTTGTATGATTGTTCTGTATCAGGTATTACGGAAAGGAAGTCGAGGACATAAGTCAAGCGAAAGAGTTCAGCGACATAATTAGAGAGGGATCAGCGTTAAGTGCAGCTGATAATCCAGGAGATTTTCTGCCTATGCTGAAGTTTATGTTTCGAGAATTGGAGAAGAAGATGGTTGCATGGATGGACAAAACGGACAGCTTCTATCAACAGCTCCTAGACGAGCGAAAAGGCCGAGTCAACATGAATGGTTCTAAGGCTATTATTGATGTTCTAATATCAGCTCAAAAACAGGACCCTGTGTTTTTCACCAACGAAGTCATAAAGGGCATGGTTATGGTGAGTACAATCGATCTAATGTACTTTCTCTGTCCTATTTTACTTGTAACACTAAGAGTTTCACACTTGTCAATGCACAATTTAAACAATTAATATCTTTGGTTGCCTCTTGGTAAAATTTATTAAACTTAAACTTTAATAAAGTTCAAATTGAAACAAATCTAACAAGGTCGGAGAAAATCATATCAGGTCTAACACGTTGAGATGCGAATTGAAACATAATAGAAAGGGAAAATAAACAGATATAGGAGAAAGATGAAGTAACATCTTGAAATAGAACATAAAAGGAATTTTAATGCAGAGATAATATGCAATTAATGATTTGCAGTACTAAAGGTTGAGAAACATTCCTCAATACATAACCTATGCAAGCCATTTTTTTATTTATTTTTTTTTTATCTGATTTTGAATTGTCATTGAATGTAAACTTAATTTTTCTATTGAAGGTACTAGTACTTGCTGGAGCAGATACTACAGCTGCAACCATTGAATGGGCAATGGCACTTCTCCTAAACCATCCAGAAGCAATGAATAAGGCACAAAAAGAGATAGATGAAGTAGTAGGGCATGATCGCCTCTTAAACGAAGATGATGTATCCAAATTACCTTACCTTCAAAACGTTGTAAATGAAACACTTCGTTTGTACCCACCAACACCACTTCTTCTCCCACACGAGTCATCAGAGAACACAACTATTTGTGGCTATGATGTGCCCCAAGGAACAATGTTAATGGTAAGTTTATGGACCATCCACCGAGATCCAAAGATATGGATGGAGCCTGAAATGTTCATTCCAGAACGATTCGAGGGGAAGGAAGGGGAATCTCTTTATAAACTATTGCCATTTGGGCTTGGAAGGAGGGCTTGTCCTGGGTATGCTATGGGTAAAAGAGCAGTATGTTTGGTATTAGGGTCAGTACTTCAGTGCTTTGACATGGAAAGACCTGATCTAGACATGGTTGATATGTCTCAAGCCACTGGACTTACTATGCCTAAAGCTATTCCATTGGAAGCTTTGTGCAAAGTTCGTCCGAGCATGGCTAATTTACTTGTTAAAGAATTAAGAGTGCAAGTGTAATGGGTGCCAATGCTTGGACCAAATGAGTTTGAATTTGTAATATGTTCAAGGTTCTTCTAAACTTCTAGTTTTGCAAGTCATAGAAGACTATAGCAAAATACGTTGGTACAAATTGTGTTTAATTAGTTAATACTCATCTTAATTAGTAGCAAAAATAAGTTTTTATAGTTGATAATATAAAAACACTTATTTTGGTACTAAGATCAGTAAGATGTACCAACTAAATGCACTTTATGTCAGTAGCAATATGGTTTTACTAGTCTTTTATGATGTGCTTTACTTGAGTTTGAGAAACTTCACAATATCTTCGAGGCCAAATAAAATTTTTAATACAGGTAAATGTTTTTCGCATATTTTTAGATGCACCTAAGCTGGCTGCACCACTTCACAATGCCCCCTTTTATACACCAAACACACATATATACTATGTACTACTGGAGTACTGGTATATTTTATTTAATTCTTAATTTTAGTTGAAATTTTCTCTCTCCACTGTGTTTGGCATTATCTTTTTCTTTTAAAATTTTCTCTCTCCTCCATTTTTTTTATTTTCGTTGATTCATAATGGATTTAATTGGAATCTTGAAGAGATTGTTGATATAAGTTAGTTTATGTTATTGATTTGTAATTTGGTTAATTGGTTATATTTTTTGAATTTGTGATTGATATTGCATATATAATTTTTGGGTAATTTGACAATTTGTAATAGGTGATGAACACAAATTGATTGTAGTACTTTTCTCTTCACTTTTCTTTCCTATAATAATTTTAATCAAAATTTCGATCATAATTTTCATCAAAATTTTATTCTCCTCTGTTTTTCCTCTTTCGTTCTTCATTTTCTCTCTCCTTTGTTTTTGCTTTATTTTTCTCTTTTGTTTCACATTTTCGATTGATTTTGTTGCTTACCATGGAATTAGTTTTTATTCCTTAACGGATCGTCAATACAGGTTAGTGTTTTGTTTTGTTAATTGTAATTAGGTTTTTTTTAGGTTATATTCAGTTGTAATTGTATTATGTTTAATTTCTATCAATTTGATCTATGTATGAATTTCGATTTTTTTGTGGCGATTTTGTAATGAATTTTGATCAATTTGATTAGGTTTGTGAACATGCAATTTATATAAATTGAATTCACGGCCTTTAATTATGAACATAAGAAAATTGAAGAAATAAAATAAATAAAATGATTATGAAACATACGCGTTATAAGTATTAAAAATATGAACATATGCACTAATAATATGAATATATGCATTTTAGAAAATAAACATACGCATTCAAAATATGAACATATGCATTGGTTCATTTTTTGAATGCGTATGAACATAATTAAGCATTTTAGAAGGTGAACATATACATGAAAAATATGAACATATGGATTTCAGAAAGTGAACATATGCATTTCATAAAGTTTACAAAAGGCTTCAAAATATGAACATAAGCATTTAAAGAGCGAAAGTGAACATATGCATAAAAAATACGAACATATGCATTTCAGAAAGTGAGCATAAGCATTCAATGAAAGGAATGGTGTCCTTCCAACAAGTGTATTCTTTCGAGAGAGGATTCAAAATTATTACGGAGCTAATTCTTCAGTAAGGTCAAGTGATTGGAATGCCTAGGTGGAGGCCGCTTCCGATTAGTAATATCAATGTACAATTGATGTTACAGCTTAAGCTTAATTGAACCCTTCGGGTCGAACCACCGATCTGAGACGACGAATTAATCCGAAAGGATTAAATGAGTCAGCAGAGTTCTACGAATACAGACGTCGGAAATCGAGCCTAGGGCGTCAAGACCGAGCGTCGCAAAATCACAAGCGACAAGTACGAGTGTAGCCGTAGCACCAAAATGGTCTAACCATGTGGATGCTAGGCTAGTTCGAGCTAGCATGCACCTAGCATGGCTAGGCGCACCATTGCAGCCTAGGCGCACCATCGTAGCCTAGGCATGCGCATGGCAGCCTATCGCAAAGCACCACAAGCCCCAGGCAGCCCATCGCAGCTAGCAGCGCGCTAGCCTGGGTGCCTGGGTGCGCATGGCAAGCCATCGCAAGCGCCACAAGCATCAGGCAGCCCATCGCAGCTAGCAGCGTGCTAGCCTGGGTGCCTGGGTGCATATGGCAGGCTATCGAAGTAGCATAGCATCACGCACAGCACCATCGCAGTGCTAGGCACATGCGTGCGTGCGTATGCGTGTGCACCATCAAGCATGGCAACACCAAGCACAGCAAGCTAGCAAGCAACGCTGGCCTTGCGTGCATAGGCACCATCACAGGCCACGCACCAAGCACAGCGCACCAATGTGTGTGCGTGCCTCGCACCAAGCATAGTAGTGCTAGGCACTGGTTGATGCGTGTGCGAGCGTTGCGTGGTGCGTGGTGGGTGGTGCGTAGGATGATGCGAGGGAAGGGCCAGCATGTGTGGCTCGCTAGCAGCACGCATGCTGGCTATGCTAGCAATGGCGCGCAAAGGAGGTGTGCGTGGGCTGCTAGGGCCAGAGCCAGCACTATGTGCTAGCAGCGCCCAGCGCCAGCACACAAGCACCAGCACCAGCCCAGCACCAGCACCAGCCCAGCACCAGCACGCACTGGCTAGCTGGCTGGATGCTGGGCAGCAGGGCAATGCTAGCTGGCAGCACTAGCTGGCACGCTAGCTGGCAGCCAGCTAGCCCTCCCCTAACCGGTTTGTGCAAGGTTGTGGGGACCAAGTCAAGCCCTTGGGGAGCAAGGCATATGGTCCCCCACCTAACCTTCGCCACCACCCTTTTTGCATATGGTTATGCCACTTGTCGCAATATGATTAACTTGATTATTTATTTAATTTAGAATTTAATAAATTGTTGATTTTCCAACTCTCCCACATTGATGGGGGATTGAAAACCAAGGACCCATTTCCCTATAAATAACCTTCAAGGGTGTTCGGAAATGGAAAACCTTGAGTGGAATTAAAAAGGTAACTCTAAGAAAGATTAAACCTTTGATTCGTAAAACTCATAGTTATTTTGTCCGGGTCTTGACTAACCTTCAAGACTTAGGACGCACGGGTCGGGTCGAGGGTACGATCCGTCGGAAATCTCGTGTTTTCGGGATTTTGAAGTAAGAGCTCTTTGGGAGCGAAGCACGCGTCAAAGGTATAATTCTTGTTCTTAATCTTGTTTGATTAAGTTTAATATGCTTATTAATTGTTTTAATTAAGGGGCAGGTCTTGGTGGGTTTCCTTCCGCGTAGTGTCTTGTCACTACGAAACCCTACATTCAAAATATGAACATAAGCATAAACAGTCAAATTGAGAACATTTTATGAACATTAAGAATATTTATCATATGAACAACAAATAATAATATTATGAACATTTCTAAACATTTTATGAACATAAGGTATCGTTTGATTTCACTAATATTTTTAACAATTTCAATAGAAATTTTGAACAACTGAGTATCGGACAATATTCAAACAAATTAAGTGAAATTTACATAAAATTACCTTTTTTTGGGAGAATCCGTTTGATTTTCATCTCATCTCAAATATTCATGGTCGTTTTGGAGGAGAGAGAGTGAATTGTGTTTGATTGTAAGAGAAAGAAAATCAAAGAGAAGGGTAATAAATGTAAGAAATTTAAGTTTGAGAGCGACGATTTTATAAAAAAATATTACATTTAAAAAAAATAGTTGTTGGAAGTGACGGTTTTGTATAAATGACAATTGGGTGAGCTGCATTTTAAAGATATGTTCAGATTTTTGGGTGAGCTTGTTTTGGTTTGGGGCTTTTTTTAATGGGGCACGTTTGAAATTGGGCTTGTGGGCTGGTGTTGCAGCTAGAATAGCTGCACAAGGGTGCAGCTTAGACCAATTGAATGTTTTTTCTGTTCAGGGTCGTTCTTGACTTTATATGGTCCCTGGGCAAAATAAAAAATATGGGCCCTTGAAAGAAAAATGTATTCTAAAATAATTTAACATATATCTAGTACAAAAACCATGCCCCATATTAGTATTGACAATTAGTTAGTTAAATACTTGATCATAAGTTTGCTAATTCAAAAGTCAAACCAACATACTCTCTTTCCTTTTTTCCTTTTCCTCTATTAGAAATCTTGCTGGAATAATAATGCAGTAGCATAAAATAAAAAATAACAATATAAAATCAACAATAACAATATACTCCGTATTTATCAATAATAATTATATAAGGAAAAACAACAAAGAATTTTGGTATGGACAATACCAGGTATGGGCCTATACTTACTAACATCTATAAATATTACTAAAGTAACAACCGTTGACATCATCACTTTTTTCAAATTGTACATGTGTCTGCTTTCTTTCTTTATTTTCCCACCTAAACTTTTTATTCCCTTTTATATATTTTTTTGTAAAAATCTAAATACTAATAGCAAAGTAATCCCTCCGTTCCTGAAAGTTCAACTCACTTTGCAATTGCGCAGTCTCCAATGAACATCTTTGACCATGAATAACTCTGGTTGTGTATAAATGAAATTTGTAAAAAGTTGATATTTGGATTATTCATAATAAGGGGAATCTAATATGATCTCACATGATAATTTATCTATATTGTATAGCTCATAAAATATGGTCAAAGTTATTTTATTTTGACCACATGAATAGTAAGTGATGTCGAACTTTCGGAAACGGAGGTAATAGTTTATTACAATATATTAAAATTTTTAGTTTTCATTACTTGTAAAAATTAAACCTTTTAAAAAGAAAAAACAAATATCAAACTTTAATATATGTGATTAATCCACCTAATTACAAAGTTCGCTAAATTTTATTGTAGACGTTAATTTTCTTTTGCTTTTATTATTTTAATTTTTGTAGTTTGGTTTATGTTAATAATATCGTATGTAATACAAAGATTATACATATTTTGACTAATATGTCTTTGAAGTTTACACACTTATAAATTATTTTATTACATCGGTACATCGCACGAGAGTTAATCTAGTTAGGAAATAAGCCATCTTCCCCTTTAGCACCCACCAAAAATTTAATTGGATATCTAAATAAAACAGTAACTACCCTTCTGACCCGTGCAATGCACGGGTTGTTCTTAGAAAATTGCATTTATAGATGAGTGAGGAAATGCTAATAAATCATTATGGGTGTAATGTGTTATCGAAAATATAATATAATTAAAAAAATTAAATTTTTGGGACTTTAATTCAAAGAGGCTTAAAAAAAATGTAAAGGGACTAAAATTAACGAGAGAAAAAGAAAAGGTTCAATTGAAGAGGGGAGATGAAGATGAAGTGTGCATGGGACATGAAGTATAAATTTAATGAAATAGTTAAGAAAGATAGTGAAGTGTAAAACATTAAA